TGTTTCTTTGTTATGGGGTGGGGCCACAACATTAGTAACAAAGAAACAGAATTTCCGGAGGATGAGGCCCAGAAATCAGGATTTAAAAAAGATTCCCAGGTGATTCTAATGTGCAGCCAAGGTTGAGAACCACTGTTGTAGACGCTGATTTTAGAGTCTTTTTTTTTTTGGCCTGGCTGTTGACTGTCAGATAGAGTGAGTACCCACGCCTCAAGCCTTCATTCAAAATCCACCTTCTGATTCTTAACATATTATAATGGTTCCGAATGATCCTTTGTTGTCGATCGATCATGTTGTTATAAAGTTACTCTTGCTGCCAAGCAAACAAACAAGCAAACAAAGTCCTGCGTTTTGCAGACACATCAGAGTCACTTAACAAACATAGGCAGCCTTTTGGTTTTAATCTGGAGAATTTATGGTTAGAAACTGTCACCTCATTCCTAATGATGCCAGCAAATCCCAAGAGAATCTCTTCTTCATGGAAGACAAAATGTAGAACATTAAGTGCGAGTTTTCATTCTCAGCCTTTAGCACATAAAAGCCACCACACTTTCTAGAGCCGGAGTCAGTGACTTTACAAAGCCGTTCTCATGAAGGAAAGGGTGACATCAGAAAACCACCAGCATACAATAGGATTCACAGAGGTCGTACGGTTAGGGGCAGCTGCACCTGGGAGAGCATTTATGAGCGAAGAAACGGAAGCTGAGAGAGCTGCAGCAATGTGCCCGGCATGCAGCTAACTGAGGAGGGCAGCGAAGGTAGGAGAGCACCTGGCTTAGCTCAGGGCTCCTGACTGTCCAAAGCAGCTGACCACAAGAGCTAACTGACCCCACAGATCGGTGGTGCTTTTCCATCCCTGTGTAGATGGCCTGCCAAGCCCCAGCCTGGAGATATCAGAATGCAGGTTTTACCTTTTAAAGATTTTTCTTTTTTCAATGAAAAGGAAGGAAACATGGACTTGATCACCTTCAGAATCCTCTCTGAGTAGGTTTCCATCCCATATCAGCATAAGAATTAGATGCATTCAGTTAGGCAAGCATGAAGTTTGCCTTTTATAAAAAGCACAAAAATAACCTTTTTAAGCAAACAAATGAAAGCTTAGGCCACCAAGATGGTCCTCTTACGTAGTTATATAATTATTTCAATGACAATGTTATTATTCCTATCTCTTCTGGCCCTTCTCTTTGGAAAATGCCTATAGAGTTCTTAATACAATATTGGCGGATTAGATTACCGTTCAGTGAATACTTACTCCATTTTCTGTTAACTTCACGGGAGGCATTTATGCAAGTTGTGCTTGGCCACATGACTTGCTTTGAAATGGAGTGCGGGGAAGTAAAAATGTATCAGTTCCAAGCCTAGCCCTTCCAGGCACCACCTGTTCCTGTTCTTGGGAATGTCTGACCTCTGCCATGAGAAGGTTATGTGCCTAAATAGCTGCCCATCAGCATCGGGGTGCCAGACTGAGTTCCCATTTTGCAGAGCCATTCTAGCCTACCTGCAGATTTGCAGCCTGAAGCTGAGCCACCCAGCAGACATGCAGACTCGTGAAGGAGACATTGCTTACTGTTGTATGTCACTGTGGTTAGAGAGTTATACATCAATAACTGATGGTGCCATGCATGAATTTCATTAATATTTTAGGAAATTTATTAAGTTACTAAAAATAGAATTTGTGTTTAGGTTGGGTTGTATTATCTTGAGTTTAAACCGCTGACAAAGTGGTAGTATTACTATATGCTCATATACTTGGTTTCTTGTAAACTTGAGGAATTTAAAAAATATTTTAAGCACAGGTGTGAGAAGTTGGTTTTCCAAAGTGATTATCTGGAAGGGGACAGCTTGTATCTGTATATGTATGTTAGGGATGTTTGATCAAAAAGCAGACACAGTACACAAACTCACTATTGTGTTTTCTTATACATATTATCTCCTATTTACATGTCTTTTGATTATGGTTTCATATCTTTTGTTGGTTTCACACTGATTTTCATTTTAATAGCCCCAGCCTACAACTACTATTCTTATGTCTTCTGAATGGTCTCTTTTTCTTGTGCACAATGAAAATGCCATTTTTTGCTATTATGTTTGAAGAAAAGGCTTCCATTTTCCGTTTCTGTTTAGAGACATCTTTTGAAGATGAGCAGAATGTGAAGCCAGCTTGATTTTTAAAGGTCACGCACAATGCAAGAAAGCTGATTGGGAAGCGTGTGGCAAGTATGATAATGAGAACATCTTCAGAATGTTGGAGTGGGAAGGAAGCCAGGCAGTCTGACCTCCTCATTCTGGAGACGAGAAAATGAAGTGTTTGCCCTGAGTCACACTGCAAGGCAGTGGTCCGGCTTTGGGAAAACTGAGAGCAAGAAGCTCTAAGTGTAAGAAAAGAGAAAAAATGTCCTTCCACCAGAAACAGACCCTCCTACGTGAATTTGAGAGCAAGCAGTTGATTTGGGAGGGGAAAGCTGGCTCTCAGGCAGAGCTTCGCCTCAGTAGGACGTTAGGACATGGTCAGCTTGTGACGGATGCTGGGATGGTGAGTGCCGGCTGGAGGGATGCAGGTGAGGCACAGAGAGCCAGGGCACTTCACTGTTCTGAACATCAGAGGCAGCTGGGAGCCTTTTCATTGTAGGAGACGAATCCCAGGCAGAGGGTGAGGTGATTTAAAGTATTTCAGGTTGAAATACTTTCTGTGTTTGGAGCCCATAAACAGTTCATGAAAGAAGTACTTCAAGGGAATGCTAGATCATAGCCCATGTTAAGGATTTTTTATATTTGCATTTTTGAGAGATTTTGGTCTATAGTTTTTTCCTTCTGTTTTCTTTTTCTCCCCGCCCCCCCCCCCTTTCCTTCAACCCCCATTTTTGTCAGTCTGGAACAAGTCTTCATTTTCATAACCTTGCCACTTTGAAGGTCACAGGTCAGTTATTTCTCAGTTTGGGTTTGCCTGCTACCTTATCATAGCTACATTAAGTTTATGCATCTTCGGCAGGGATATTAAGGATGATGCTGGGCATCTTACCTAGTGGTGCACAGTTCGATATGTCCCATTTTTGATGATGTTCATTTTTGTCATTTCATTAAAATGGTGTCTCCAAGCTTTTCTCCTGAAAATTTTCCCATTTGTAGTTAATAAACA